CTGGCTTGGCAGATGGTCACAAAAAGGGCGGATCACAGATCCCTGGGATGCTGCAACTGTCATAAATGTGGGTCACCTACTAGGCACGTGACCGTGGGATGCTGCAATGGTCATAAAGTGTGAAAAATGGTCATAACTGATTTTTTCCAGTGCCATTGTAAGTTCGAATGGTCGCAAATGGTTGTAAAATCGAGGACTGCCTGCAATGACTGGAAACGAAACTGGAGAGAGTCCATTTGGTGTGCATGTGGCTATTATTTTATTCCTTTAAAACCAAGGAACCATGCAGCTAGTCCTCATGGATGCACCATTTGAGTGGTCCCTTGTCATCTTGGTCTGCCTGCCTAGGTTGACGCTTTCTTAGGAAATCTTTAAAAATATATATATACTTGGCTGTCGGTTTTTCAACCCCAGGGTAGTCCTCGACTTACGACCACAATTGAGCCCAAAATTTCCATTGCGGAACAAAACCCCGTGTGGTTCACTGCGATTTGCCTCTTCCACCGCCACCGTTGTTAAGTGAATAGCTGCAACTGTTAATTTAGTAACATGGTTGTTAAGTGAATCTGGATTTCCCCGTTGACTCTGCTTGTCGGAAGGTTGCAAAAGGGGAGCACGTGACCCCCGGGGGCACTGCGACCATCATAACTACGAGTCAGTTGCCACGGGTCCAAATTTTGATCACGTAACTACAGACCACTTTGATGGTGTGAAAAAAGTGTGAAAAAGTGGTTCCAAGTCCCTTTTTTTCTGTGCTGTTGGTAACTTTGAAGGACTGTGTACTTTTCCTTTAAAAAGGGGGAATTTATCTTCTAAACCCCAATTTCTGGATTTCTCTACAGCTGCCACCTCATTTTCTCCCTGGGTGTCTGTCCCTAATTTTTCTTCAATTCTTCTAAACGGGGCTCAAAAGCCTAGATAAATCTTGAATTATTTTGTCCTTTCTCCAGCTCTGCTGGATGCTGTACATAGAGTCCGCCTCTCCTTCGAAAAAGAAATTGTGTTAGAGACACAGGGGAGAAAATAACACACTCAGGGACATAAATGGCTTTTTTTTTAAAAGAGAAAACACACACACACACAACACACAACGCACACAAACGTGAGTTGTTTCACCAGATTTCTGCAGGGTGCTGGTTGATATGCCTTGCCTTTTTTACAAGACAGGAATCAATTCGCTGAATCAACATTTTAGGTCAAGCTGGACCCTGTATTTACAGGGAGTCCTCGGCTTACGACCACAGCTGAGCCCAAAACTTTCACTCTGAAACGAGAGTTTTGTTTCTCCCTTTTTTTTTAACAATTGTTTTTTTTGCCGTGATTGTTAAGCGAATCTCTGCACTTGTTAACTGAATCATGGGGTCGTACAAGCGGGTCAGTCATTCACGGACCCGTTTTACAACCATGAAGCCAGATTCCCATTACGGCCGTAAGTCGAGGACTTGTCAGGAAAGGCATTTTTTCCTTGGGCTGCTTTCCATCTTTTGCCACTTTGCGAATATAGTTGGATCGGACCTTGTATTTATGGGTGTCTTAGACTTACGACCATAACTGAGCCCCCGAAATTTCCTTTGCTAAATGAGACATTTGTTAACTGAGTCCCCCCCCCCCCATTTTACGACCTTTCTGCCCATGGTTGTTATGTGAATCCCTGCAGTTGTTAAGTTAGTCGCATGGTTGTTAAATGAATCTGGCTTCTTCGTTCACTTTGCTTGTCAGAACGTCATAAAAGTGGATCACGTAACACACACACACACAGGGACATTGCGACCGTCATAACTACGAGTTGTTTGCCAAGTGTTCGAATTCTGATCACATGACCATGGGGATGTTGCAAACGTTGTTAAATGTGGAAAAACAGCCAAAGTCGCTTTTTTCAGTGCCGTTGTATCTTCCAACGGTCACTAAGTGAACTGTTGTAAGTCGAGGACTGCCTGTGTTTGATCGCCGTTTGGGGTGCTCATTGTGTTTGCTGGAGCCGTTCAATTGTGGGCATCCACAGGTTGTGGTGTTGTGTTAGCCTGAAGGCTTGGGACAGTTTTGACAACGAAAACTNTTCATAACCGAACTAGGTAACATCATCAGGGTTGCTGGAGTTTGTGAAGTGGAATTTGTCTTTGGCCTCTGAATAAAAGTTTGGTGGGAAATATTATGATCGTGGCTGGTGAGGACCCCCTGGGGGAGGTTTCCAGGTGGGAGGTAAGCCTGGGGGTGATGGGTTCTGTAGTCCAAGAGTCTTGGAAATGGGGTGGTCTTGCTTGGGCCTGGTTAAGACTTGCAGAAGGTTGAATGTAGAGCCTTAAAGGCAGTTTGACATTAGAAGGGCATGTGAAATAATTACTTTTGCCTAATATCACCAGGTTTAACTGCAGATTGTGAAATTTGATTGACAGGTTATGTGCCATCAAGCGGGGGGGTTCAACTCTAAATGACCCCCCTGGGTAGATTTGGGATCTGACACAAGCCTTATCTCTCCTGAGTCCATCCTCCTCTCAGGCTCCAGAAGCCGGAACCGTGTGATTTCACTTAACGACGTGATTCCACACGATTCACTTAACAACCTCAGGGATTCGCTTAGCAACTATTGTAAAATCTGCTCAACCACAAGGGTTGCGGTCCTATTCTGGTCATAAGCCGAGGACTATCGTGAAAGAAAGCCCGGGTTAGGGTTAAGCCATATGGGACCTGCCAAATCTTGAACTCAGAACTTTTAGAGATGGTTGTTTTTTAAGCACAGGTGTTGTAAGTGGGGGGGAGAAACCTTTACCCTTGTGCCCACTGTGCTTAGAGAATCAGCTTCTGGGCAATGGTGATGCAAGTACCGTTTTGAATGTTGACACGAAAGGAAGCAACAATGTGTGTTGTTGAGTTGTGCAGCCACACAACTTGCAAACTTTGAGAAAAATAAATGCAGGAAGATGCAATTGCTGTGTTTTTTCCTCGAATCGGAGCATTTTAAGGGGAGGACTTCCACTCCCAGAATCCCCCATCCATCATGCTTTAAAAGGAGTGGGCTTAAACTCCCAGAATCCCCCAGCCACCTATGCTTTTAGAGGTAAGGACTTCGTTCCCCAGAATTCCTCCTCAGGCTGGCAAGCTAGCTGGGGGATTCTGGGAGTGGAAGTCCGCCCATCTTTAAATGCTCCAGTTTATTTTAAACCCACTAAATTAATTTAAGCCCTTCTGTTGTCAACGACTCAAAGGCAGATTTTGGGAGACACTTAAAACATCAGAAATTTTTCACGGTTACAAATTCCAGTTTTCTCACATCTGGGTCAAAAGAGTTGTTGCCAGCAACAAATGTGTCACAATTTCACAATGTGTTGCTTCAGCCTTCCTGCTTGTGAGTGTTGCAGTTGGAGAGCCCTGTTAAAAAACATTGTTGGAGTCCCAGCTCTTTGTTCATTTCGACTTCCAATTACAGGTAATCCTCGACTTACAACCGAATCAGAGCCTCAAATGTCTCACTAAGCGAGACAGTTGTTAAATGAGGTTTTTTCCCCCTTTGAGGACCATCCTGGTCACCGTCATTAAGCGGATCCCTGCAGTTATCAAGTTAGTCACATCGTTGTTAAGTGAATCTGGGCTTCTCCGTTGACTTCGTTTGTTGGAAGGTCGCAAAAGTGGGGGGTCACGTGACCCTGGGACACGGCGACCGTCATAAATACGAGTCCGTTGCCAAGCGTCTGAATTTTCATCATGTGACCATGGAGACACAAAGGTTGTAAGTGTGAAAATGGTCACAAGTGACTTTTTTCCCCAGCACTATTGTGAATACATGCCAGTTGCAGAGGCCCTGATTCACAACCTCATAATTGTGGGGACTCTTGAAAGGGTCGTGAATGCGAGGACCTTGCCTAAGTCCCTCTTTTCAGTGCTATCGTCATGCCGGTTGCTAAGCGAGTGGTCGTAAGTCAAGGACTACCTGTAACCACGTTCCCCGGGTTCTCTTATGATGGTTTTTAACTTTTGCGCAGAATTGCCGAATTTGCGTCCTCTGCAAATCGACGGGATAATCTGGCAATCCATAATTGTAATTCTACAAATGCTGCTAACAATGAGAATTTGACCTCAAGGCCAAGGATCAGCTTATTACCTGCCCCTTAATTCTAACCTATTTATTTCTTCTTGCTACTAATTTTTTTTTTGGGGGGGGGGGCATTTTTTAACTCAGGGGCCCCTGCACACTTCGTTTCTACACAAAATTTGTTTGTTTGTATCCACACCTTTTTCTTTTACAAATAACTCAAGGAGGTAAACATATCACACACGCCTTCCTCTTCTTATTTTCCCCACAACAACCATTTGAGGTAGGCTGAGCTCAGACAAGAGGGCTGGTCCCAAGTCACCCTTCCAGCTCGCATGCCTAAGGTGGAACTAGAACTCACCTTCACCCGGTGATTGGCCCAAAGTCACCCAGCTGGCTTTCATGCCTAAAATGGGACTAGAACTCACAATCTCCTGGTGATTGGCCCAAAGTCACCCAGCTGGCTTTCATGCCTAAGGCAGGACTAGAACTCACCGTCTCCTGGTGGTTGGCCCAAAGTCACCCAGACGGCTTTCATGCCTAAGGTGGGACTAGAACTCCCTGTCTGCTGGTGATTGGCCCAAAGTCACCCAGCCGGCTTTCATGCCTAAGGCAGGACTAGAACTCACCGCCTCCTGGTGATTGGCCCAAAGTCACCCAGCCGGCTTTCATGCCTAAGGTGGGACTAGAACTCCCCGCCTCCTGGTGATTGGGCCAAAGTCACCCAGCCGGCTTTCATGCCTAAGGCAGGACTAGAACTCACCGCCTCCTGGTGATTGGCCCAAAGTCACCCAGCCGGCTTTCATGCCTAAGGCGGGACTAGAACTCACCGCCTCCTGGTGATTGGGCCAAAGTCACGCAACCCAACTTTCATGCCTAAGGTGGGACTAGAACTCACCATCTCCTGGTTTAACTACTAGACTAAAGGGACTTAACCTTGGCTGAGTTTTTCTTTCTGCACCTCTCCCTCCAGGCGCCGGTCACTGGCAGGTGGCTCGTCATAATGTGGAGAAAAGCAAGGCCGAATGGCTGCTTGGCACGGAAGCTGCCCAGCCGAGCTGGCAAGAGTGTTTGCGGAAAGCTCAGTGCCCCAGGCCCCACAAAGTCCTCAATGGGGCCCTGCTG